TACCGGTTTGAGGGCTGGTTCATACCAGGAGGTGCATCTGAGTGAATGTGATTTTTTGCGCATTACCAGGCGTTGCATTTCTTTTTTTAATGAGCTGCTCTATGCATGTGAAACATGCAAAAGTGTGCAGGCATGATTTTTAAAATTGCGCAACACCAAAAACACATGGTACTACGGGTACCATGCATTTTAGCAGCTGCAAATGTACATGCATTTTCTAGATGCGTGGGGATGTCATTAAAAATAAATAGCACCCACCCCAGGCAGCACGTCTTTGTGTGGGAAAACATGCAATTTCACACCTATATTGCATATACAATGATCATCACTGTATAAACAATAACAGTGTAAAAAAAAAAAAAAAAATTCTGATCACCCCTCCCCCCCCCCCAATAGTACAGTGTGGTAATCCTACACTATGGTGACAGTGAGCTACTGTGATAACAGGATGTAAAACAAAACAAAAAAATTTTTTTTAAAGATTTAAAAAAAATAGGATAGAAAGAATAATTAATTTTTTTCACATACTGTAATCAATCAGTATTCCTGATCACTGCCACACCAGTCAAGTGGAAAAAAAAAACTAAATTTGCTTTAATTTCTTAATTTTCCAAAAAATTGTAACAAAAAAATTGCAACTTTAAAAAACTTGCCAGCCTTTTTACTAAATACCTCAACCTGTCTACTTTCCAAAAGAGGTAATTTGAGGGAAAGTTGTACTGTCCTGGCATTTAAGGGCCTCAAGAAATGAGACAGGCCATCAGTACATCAGGATTGATCCGATTTTCAAATGTACTGTATATACCAAAGTTTGTGGACGCTACAAACTAATATAACTACCAATTAATATACATTTATTGAGATTTTTTTTAACCAAATACATGTAGCAGAATACATTTTGGGTGAAATTTATGAAGACATTTTACTTTATTGAATATATTTTATAACAAGTATAAAATATTGTGTTTTTTGGTTTCAAAATGTCCATTCTTTTTTCGTTTATATAATAAGAAATAAAAAAAAACCCCAGTGGTGATCAAATGCCAGCAAAAGAGAATTCTATTTGTGTGAAAAAAAATTATATAAATTTAATTTAGGTACAGTGTTATATGTCCGAGTAATTGCCAGCTAAAGTAGCACAGTACTGAATAGCAAAAAAATGGGCTGGTCATGAAGGGGGTAAAATCTTCTGTAGCTCCTGTAGCTCAAGTGGTTAAACTGAGATTTTATGTCTTCTTATATACAATCTTTGCTTACATATAAACTATTACATGGCAAAGAATTTCCAAAGCACCACTGGCTATTCTAAAGTGAAATCACAGCAATAGCAACCTGATTTTAGGCTCTGTTATAAGAGATAAAAGGATGGATGGACAAATGGTGGATAAATCACCGCTCTAGCTATGTATACATCTTTGGTCTTTAGCTATTCTGTTATGGAAAGAACAGAATTTGTTTATAACAGGTGGTGATCAGACAGAAGTAAAAATGTCCACAGAGTTCAATCAAAAGATGAAAATACATAGAAACCTGCATCCACAGAACCCCAAGCCCTCACCTGATTCAGAGGAAGGCAAACAACCCTTATAAAGCATGCTACAATAGTAAAAAATCATTCCTGAACCTCTAAAGCAGAGGTCCCCATACTTACTGAACAAAGGACCAGTTTTCTGGCCTTCAGACTTTAGGGGGGCCGGACTGTGGCCATTGGGAGAAAACTTATCCTGGCATTAGTAGGCTTCAGGGGCGGACTGACAACTCATGGGGCCCCCGGGCAATAGGGGATCATGGGGCCCCTGTGTCCTTGCCCAAACTCAAAAAAGCCTATGAAAAAAGGTACCAGGGGCATCTCATAGGGCCTCCTACTGACCCAGGGCCCTCGGGTAGTGCCCAAGTTTCCAAATGGTCAGTCCGCCCCTGGTAGGCATAAACAATTCATCTTTGGTATTGGGGGGGGTGGGGAATAGCAAACCATTGTTGGTGTCAGAGGGAGAAATAGTGCCCTATCATTGGTGTCAGTAGGAGAAAAAGTGCCCCTTTCATTGGTGCCATTAGGAGCAATAGTGCCCTGTTGTTGGTGTCAGTAGGAGGAATAGTACCTCGTTATTGGTGTCAGTGAGGGGAACAGTATCCCATGGTTGGTGTCAGTGGAAGAAATAGCACCCCATGGTTGGTGTCAGTGGGAGAAATAGTGCCCCATGGTTGGTGTCAGTGGAAGGAATAGTGTCCCATGGTTGGTGTTAGTGGGAGGAATAGTGCCCATTGGTTATGTCAGTAGCAGGAATTATGCCCCATTGCTGGAGTCAGTGGGAGGAATGGTGTCTTGTATCAGGGGGAGAAAAAATGCCCCAAGGCAAGCAAGGGGCTGCTGTTTGGAGACCACTGCCCTAAAGCAATCAGATATGACCTGGATTATCAACCTACATTGGTATTTCTTATATAAATTAGCTGCCAATGACATTTTCTGCATTTAGAAAGACACTTGCCCTGTTTATGAATCAATTCAGAGTTGATTAGAACTAGATACTGTAGAAGACTATTTCGCACATACACACCTCTTACTGTAAAGTACTCTTTTTTTGTGCATAAGGTAAACCTTTTTTGCTCCAGGTTTAAAGAGCTCCCTAACTAGTTGCAGACTTTGGGCAAGCTACACACACCCAAAAAACTTCATCATTGTACACAAGACATGTGTAGCACATCCTGTCTCTATGCCCTGCTTCTGGGACCCTCCTCCCAGTATACAACAATTATCGATTAATCAAAGCCGGCATTACTGTATACTAAGAGAAGGTGTTGGCAACTGTAGCTGTCAAAAAAGTAGTCTGAATCAGTGTTTATAAATAACTGCTCAGAGCGAAACTACAAAGGTACTAAGTAACATAATGCTACTTTTGTATCATTCTGTTCATTCATGTGCAGATCAAAAGGATGAACTTAGATCTGCACATGATGTCAGTTAAAGCAACCTGAATAATATACAGTGGGGATCGAAAGTTTGGGCACCCCAGCTAAAAATTTGTATTAATGTGCATAAAGAAGCCAAGGAAAGATGGAAAAATCTCCAAAAGGCATCAAATTACAGATTAGACATTCTTATAATATCAAGGTCAGATGAGTCTGGGCATTTAAAACCTTTGAGATTGACATCACCTGGTCTTCCCAGACGATGATTGAGAACAATCCATGACACTGGCAGGTCTCAGCTTGGCAAAGGGGGCAGTGCATGCTATAAATTCTGCAGGGTGCCCAAACTTTTGCAGACGCCATTTTTTTGTTTTCTGTTATTTTGAAAGTGTAAATGATGGAAATAAAATCTAACTTTTGTTGACATATAAGAATGTCTAATCTGTAATTTGATGCCTTTTGGAGATTTTTCCATCTTTTCTTGGCTTCTTTATGCACATTAATACAAATTTTTAGCTGGGGTGCCCAAACTTTCGATCCCCACTGTATATATATATATATATTTTTTAAATAAAACTGTACTCTATTTAACCCCTTATTAACTCTCACTCTACTCTAATCAGCTCCAGTTAGCTCCTTATTCTCCTTCTCTTTTCACCTACTTTTTTTTTGTTTCTATTTTATTAACTATTAATAGTTAAACTTTTTTGTTTTGTCTGTTATTATTTTTACACATTTAGCATATATTTGCAGCATTTCAAAAGTGGAAAAAAAACCCTCTATTTCATTTGTAACTCTGGAATATTTGTGTAGTCATACAAGGTGATCATATCCCATCACTTCTCAAGCGAGAATATCTTCAGTTATTCTTTTATCGTAGCTAAGGTTCCCCATTCCATCATTAAAACCCCGTTTACATAAATTGCTTTATGAAAAGCTGATGGTTTTTTAAAACATTGATTTGACTTTTGCTTACCCCAAGTGCAAAATTCTTTGCGCTGAGTGCAGTAACCTATACAGTGGTGTATTTTGGTTTTGTGCTCCCCCCACCCCGCATCTAACTTCCTCTCACTGACACCAACATTGGGACATTATTCCTCCCACTGACAACAACGATGGGGTATGATTCCTCCCACTGACAGCAACGATGGTGCCCCATCATTAGTGGCAGTGTGGGGGGAATAGTGCCCCATGATTGGTGTCAGTGGGAGGAAAAGTGCCCCCTCATTGGTGTCAGTGATACCAATGATGAGGCACCATTTCTTCCACACTGACACTAATGATGTGGCACTATTCCTCCCACTGACACCAATGAGGCTTACATAGCTGACCCCTGCTCCAGCCCAGGCTCCCTCCCTCTCCCATCCCCAGACAGCATACCTGGCTGCAGCAGCACCATCTGCTCTGCCCAGATCCCAGCCGCATGGCACAGACACTTACTGATCAGCTGTCATCCTTCTCCGGCTGTTCTCCTCCTCTTCACTGGCTCCGGCTGTTTCCTCACTCGATCTTCTTTGATCTTCGTGCTGCCGCTCAGCTCCTCCTCTCCAAGCTCCACCTCCTCACCAATAATTGGCCACCTGTGTGCCTTTCCTGAGCTACGGATCCGGCGGGCAATAACCGGCGAGGAGGTGGAGCTTGCAGAGGGAGAGACAGGCTTCCATAGGCTGCCCAGTGATCCTGGGAGTGTGGCCAGATGAGAGGGGTGGCATGTCATTCTGCCCACATTGCGATCAAGATCCAGGCAGATGAAGTCACCGGACGGACACCTTCTCCACCCCTCCTCCAGCAGCGCCTCGTGGACCGGATCGAAGTGGCACACGGAGTCGCTGATACAGGTAAGACACAGAAGCCCCTATTCCCTTCCCACGGACGTGTCCCTTCCATGGAAAGGGGGGGGGGGGGGGGGCGGAGCCTTAGGCAAACGCCTTGATTGTCTTGCTGCAAATACGCCCCTGAATCTAATACAGCCTTCAGTAAGTTACAAATACGAAGAAGAATAAAAGAGACATTTTGCTTGTTTGCTAGAGATTAATGCACTTTGTTTTCATAACATAAGCCCATCAGGATCGACACATTACATACACTCTTACCTCCGAACACTCTGAAGAGTCGATTGCAGCTGGGTAATGGCCATTTTGCACAACTTGCTCTCTGGAAACTCTGCTTCCTTTTCAGATATTCATTTGGAAAAAGAGCAGCAGAAGATTTGCTGAGGTCTGTAATTCGACAGATAGAAAAGCAGGTCACGTTTCCCACTAATACCGCAATAAAATCAGCTCACATTGAACACATACATTATATATTTGCACAGTATGATGATTCAGCATTGCAAATTAAAACTGCAAGAGTGATATTTAAACTTGTGTGACAAGTTACCTTACGCTAAGACCCTGCATCAAATTTACAAACCGACGCAAAATAGCCTTTACATCTCTGCAAACAGTATCATTTCCCTACAGTATTCTTAAAGCCCAATTGAGCATTCCGTTTAACTCGGCTAAATACATTCTATGTGCAGAAAACAAAATGTGTGTAATGTCTTACACAATGCTTTCTTTTTAAAGTAGCCACAGCCTGACTAGAAAAGCCTGTCACATGCCAGTGATTTCAAAGTGGGACTATTGCTCTCTGTGGGGAAGTGGTGGTCTCTCTGCACATGTCTGAAATGCCACCTACTGAGTCAGACCTGTAACTCTGTAATCAAAAGTCTAGCTCCCCTAATTAGAGAGCTCTGCCTCTGACTGAGGAATGAACATGTCAGACAGATCAGTGCTCGATCACAGAGAACCAGAGTTCATTGTAGCATGCTGGCAGGGGACAGACTTTTCTATGGAAGGTTCAGTTGGGCTTTAAATTGTTACTAAACCCAAGTCCCTGCATTCACTATATCTGGTCTCCCACAGTACACAGAACATGGAAATACAATTATTTTAGTAAATATAAACTGCTAAATACCTTTTCTCATCAGCAGTTAGAGCGGTCTTGTGACTTCTATCAGTGTCCAGCAGAGCACTGGTTAAAGGTTGTAGGAGGAGTTTTCATTCTCCTCTGATTGTCCTATGAGGCTGCATAACACCTGACTCTCTGTCTGGATAGTGCTGATTGGCCCTGTGCTGATCACATGCAAACTCTCTAGCAATACACACCAAACTAAGCATGTGTAGTCTGCCCCCAAGGATCTGTACTATTAGCAGATGGATTGATAGTAGAAGAAGGGCAGGATCACAGAAGACAGGATCAAACAGCCTTTTTACACAATGCAGAGGATTAATCCAGTGAGTAGAACAAGTATGCTTTAGTGCATATGCAAACTGATTTTACTGTTGTGGGTTCAGTAACTTTTTAAAGTTGAACTCTAAGAAAATGGCTAAAGCAGGGCTTGACAAATTTGCTTTGAATCTAGGAGCCAGCTAAAAAAGTTAGGAGCCAGTTTTTTGAAAGAAAGAACGAATGAAAAGAAAGACTCTGGGACACTACTTCACGAGTTCAGGGATTTGAAATCCCCACGGCTTAATCTCCTCTCCTCCAGGCACTGATAGAACAGGCTAGATGGTGTCTGATTGGTCAGCGCTGTCAATGTGATGGTGCTGACCAATTAGAATGCCTCTCGTTTGTATGCTGAGTGGTATGGATAAGAGATTAAGCCGTACAAATTTCAAATTCCTGGATCAGTGAAGCAGCGTCCTGGTGTCTGACAACAGACGGCAGACAAAAGCCCAGGCGCCAGGATGTAATTCTTCATGGCGACCTGGGATTTGTTGAAACCTTGCAGTACAGCTCCCCTCCCCCACCATATCACATAGTAAAGCCCACCCCCATAGTACACAGTACAGCCCCCCTCATATCACACAATTCTCCCCCCAACATGTCATGAAGTACAGCTACCCCAAAAATACCACGCAGCCCCCCCCCCCATATCACAAAGCACAGCCACCTCCCCATATCACACAGCACATATGATCAGTATAGTACAGGGGCCCCCCATATGAACAGTACAGTACAGGGGCCCCTCCATGCTCAATGCGGCCCCCTCCCAGAAATGTGTGATCAGAGCAAAGAGGAACAGTGTGCCCCCCCATAGGTATAATACAGGTCCCCATATATGATCAGTGAGGCCCCCTGCCAGACACATGTGCTTAGTCAATGGTCTTGCCTCCCCCAGCAGAGTCCCGCTCACCCTGGCCAGCCCCTCGTTCCTCTGCTCATAGCTGTCCACTATGGAGGCCATGGCCGGGTGAACCTTCACCACCGACCATTCAGAGCTGCTGGAGCCCCGGAACACATCCCCAGAGCCACCATCACTGTCTGCCAGAGAGGGAGGGTAGAGCCGGAACACTTCACACACGGCCCTGGCCAGGGTTTATATGAAGGGGAGCAGGCAGCTGAGCGCACTGCTCTGTGTTATCCCTTAGCTGTGATTGGCTGGAGAGGGAGAAGAGCTAGGAGATTAAGCTGCAGGGATATCTCTGGATCACTGAAGCCATGTCCCAGTACCTGCCAGTGGACTGCTGACAGTCCCCAGGCATCAGGATAAAATTTATAGTCACCATGGCGCCTGGGGTTTGTCGAGCTCTGGGCTAAAGACACACTCAAAATTCAGATATCTATTTTACCGGTTACAATATCTGTAATTAACTTTAGCAAGTCTAGAGATCCCAGTACCAATGCTAGTTGGCATAGCCAGGTTAGTGACCTTAGTCTTTTACCTGCAGTTAAGCCCTATACTTTTATCAACCTATTAAAAGCCTGGTCACTGAACAATAAAGAAACACCGCCACACATAAAGGATCAAGACTGCTCTCTCCTCCTGTCAGCACGTCTCTGATGCTAGAGTAATAGTACCATGCCATGTGCTAGAGCCTTACTGGCTGTCAGGGAATGTACATATCTATGCGCAGACGCAGAACCCTTGTAAGCCCTGCTTGTGGCCGATTAGCAAATGCGCGTGCGTGATTGCAAGTGCGCATGCGCGATGGCACATTGGTGCCAGGCAGGATATTTAAGCTGGGCTAGTGCCCTGCATTAGTGCCATTTGGTCTATTATGTTTAATCAACCATGCATCCCATTACCTGTGATTCTGTTGCCGATCTGATCTGTTATTGACCCTGCCTGAACGCTGCCTGTATTGACCCCTGGCTTGCCCTTTGGCTATTCTTCTGCCTACTGTTTATGCTTGCTGTGCCTGCTAGTTGCTGACCCAGACTGTCTGGCCTTGCCTTACTCTGCCTCCTCCACCCGAACCAGCTGATCCTTGCCGCTATCCAGCTCCTGAACGTCTGCCAGCATGCAATCTGCAAGCTGCTCCTGCACCTCTGACAATGTGTCAACTGCCAGTTTTCTCCTGCACTTCTGCCAGCTGCTCCTGCATCTCTGCCAGCATGTCATCTGCCAGCTACTCCTGCCAGCGTGTCATCTTCCAGTCTGGTCCTGCACTTCTGCCAGCGTGCCATCAGCCAGCTACTCCTGCACTTCTGCTAGCGTGTCATCTGCCAGTCTGCTCCTGCACTTCTGCCAGCATGCAATCTTCCAGCTGCTACTGCATCTCTGCCAGTGTGTCATCTGCCAGTCTGCTGCCCGCACTTTTTCCAGCGCGCCACCCACCAGCTACTTCTGCCAGCATGTCATCTTCCAGTCTGGTGCTGCACTTCTGCAAGCGTGTCATCTGCCAGTCTGCTCCAGCATTTCTGCCAGCGTGTCACCTGCCAGTCTGCTTCTGAACTTCTGACAGCATGTCATCTGCCAGTCTTCTCCTGCACTTCTGCCAGCATGTCATCTGCCAGTCTGTCTTCTGAACTTCTGACAGTGTGTCATCTGCCAGTCTTCTCCTGCTCCTGCACTCACTGACAGTGTGTCATCTGCCAGTCTGCTGCTCCTGCACTTCTGCCAGAGTGCTATCAGCCAGTCTGCTCCTGCATCTTTCTGACAGTGTGTCATCAGTGTCATCAGTGTCATCTGCCAGTCTGCTCCTGCACTTCTGCCAGCATGCAATCTGCCAGTGCTGCTCCTGCACCTCTGCCAGTGTACCACCAGTCTGCTCCTTCACTGTCCAGCATGCAATCCTGCTCCTCCCAGACGCACCCAGACGCACATCAAGATCCATCTGCAGAAGTCCTACCAGACACTCGTGCACCTCTGTGCTCCAGCGCTCCCTCTTGCTCTACCAGGGCCCCCGAGCCAGAGCTGTAAGAGAGGCCTTCCTCTGTGCTTCAGATTCTACCACCAGGTACATTAGACAACTAACACACTGTTGGCCCTCCCAATCACAGTCTGAGAAAGCTAATGTAAATGATATAATAGTCATTCAATATAATTTAAAACTGAATCAAATGATGATTTTTTGTATCTGCCTGAATTTAAATTGTTTGTAGTAGGTATATCAGTTACTGTATATCTAAACATAATCCATTGGTCCGCACTTAATTGGTGTAAACCTCCTCTCAACCCCCCCCCCCCCCCCTACAGAAAGTCCTCATTTACCTTTAAAGGAACAAAAAACTCGCCAATCCTTTTCAGCCAAGGAAGCTGCTATCTTAGCCTCCGTTTGGTCCATAACTGCCATGATGCTGCAAATGTGATGTTATGACACCAACCACTTGATGGTTTAACAGTTCGGATAACAGCACAAGCAAATGTGACAGTTACATTCCCAGAATGTAATTGTTTTTTGAAACCATTAAATAAATGTGTTTAGTTATACATTAAGTACAGAGTAAAAATAACAGAGAAATATTAATAATCGCACTTGAATTCACACAGATGGTACATCTGTGTATAGAAACCAGTCAGCTTCCAGTTTTTTTTTTTTGTCAACCCCCTAATTGAACAAGATGAAGTCAGAAGCGGATTGGCTACCATGCACAGCTGCACCAGATTTTCCACTCTCCAGTTTTAGCAGATCAACCCTAGTGTATACTTTTGGTAACTATACAATGTATACTTTTGTCAGACATGAGTTGTTCCATTCTTACCATATAATTGACCTCTATGATCTATTCCTCATCAACTGATGGAGCAACTAAGAATCTCCAATTTATAACAAACAACTTGCTGCAAAAAGTTTTTAAACAATTGCTAAAGATATCGATTTAGTCTGCCTGAAATTTAGCTTTATAGTTTAACAGGGATTTTTACATATAGGACTCACAAAATAATTTCTATATCTGTGTAGTTATGTGGAAGGGTTCTTGGCTCCCACAGTTCACACCAGTGCATTTTAGTGCAGCTGTAAAATGCAGCTAAATGGAAGGCCATCTGAAAAACAATTTCCAATGTGTTATTCACACCATGGCGTTGAATTGGGCCACAATGCAAAACGTATGTCAACGGACACCAAAATGTATGTTAACGGACACCAAAATGTATGTTAACGGGCGTCAAAATGTATATCAAAATTTATGTCAACAGATGTCAAAATGTATGTCAATGGACGTCAGAGCATGTTAAAATGCAACTGAAATGGATGTATGGAAATGTACATCCATTTTAGCACAAGTCAGTGTGAACTGACCTTTAAACACTGCCACTGCTTGAGCAGGGATAATGGCTCTCAGACACAGTATATGGCACTGTGGCGGGAAGTGGTGCCCGGGTTCAGTGGTGCCTTAGTGATTGTCATACGTATCTTACAACATTGGGGTCCAGGGTTAGTTTAGCATCACAGACAGGGGCGGACTGACAACTCATGGGGCCCCCGGGCAATAGGGGATCATGGGGCCCCTGTGTCCTTGCCCAAACTCAAAAAAGCCTATGAAAAAGGTACCAGGGGCATCTCATGGGGCCCCGTACTGACCCCGGGCCCTCGGGCAGTGCCCGAGTTTCCAAATGGTCAGTCCGCCCCTGATCAGAGATAATATCTGTATAAGATTTTTATTCCCTGTAATTACATGGGTCTCCTCTAGGTTCTCTAAATTTCAATCACAATCCTGAAACATTCTGGTAAGTTTACTGGATTCTAAGAGTATGTACTTGTGTAACAGAACTTTAGATTGCAACTTCCTCTGGAGTGGATACTGATGCAACGGATTCTGTGTAGTATATTAAAGAACTACAGGCAAAATGTTTTTTTTTTTTTTTCATTTTGGATAGAGCATGGGAGAGTTATAACCCCTATCAGATTTTTTTTCGCCATCTGTGTCCCACTGCGTAGATTTTCCTTCACTTCCTGCCACATAGCCAAACAGGAAGTAAAAGGAAATCCCTGCAAATTAAGGAAATTCCTTGAGGAGCCAAAGGTCTCCAGAACTAGTGTCCTTATTGAAAGATTTTCCCTCTATTATTTTTCTGGGGACGACCAAAAAATTGGGATTTTCTTTTACTTTCACTTTCAATGATAATGATAAATGGGACAAAAAGAGAGGGTGAATCTCCCTAATGGAGGCACAGACAGCAATAAAAAAAACTGACAGGTGCCCTCTCCACTTTATCTAAAACTAAAAAAAAAAAAAAAAAACCTTTTGTTATACTTTAAGTGCAGTGTAATATTACATGTAAATACAATCCTATAAATACTTAGGACACTCTGATGTCACTTAATGGAGAGGACTGAATAATGTGGACATGTAAGGGGCTGTCTTTTAAATACAAAATAACTGCAAAACTGCATGTGTGCCTTGACCATCCCAAGGCTCCTTGCCTTGTGCTCCCTAGATATACACTCTCCGGCCACTTTATTAGGTTCACTTGTTCAATAGCTTGGAAACACAAATTGCCAATCAGCCAATCACATGGCAGCAACTCAATGCATTTAGACATCTAGACATGGTGAAGATGGCTAGTAAAGTTCAAACCGAGCATCAGAATGGGGAAGAAAGGGGATTTAAGTGACTTTGAATGTGATGTGGTTCTTGGTGCCAGACGGGCTGGAGTTTTTTTAAAAAAACTGCTGATCTACTGGGATTCTCATGCACAACCATCTCTAGGGTTTACAGAGAATGGTCCGAAAAAAGAAAAAATCCAGCGAGTGACAGATGTGTGGAGAAAAATGCCTTGTTGATGTCAGAGGAGAATGGGCTGACTAGTTCGAGAAAGGCAATAGTAACTCATGTCAATATGAACCAAAATCTCTGAGTAATTATTATATTATTATTATTATACAGTATTTATAAAGTGCCAATAGTTCGCTCAGCGCTGTACATTACAAAGGGGGACAGAACATGTGACAGAACAATACCAATACAATATGATACACGAGGGGTTCAAGGGCCCTGCTCTTTCGAGCTTACAATCTAGGAGTAATGTCTCCAACACCTTGTTGAATCTATGCCATGAAGAATTAAGGCAGTTCTGAAGGCAAAAGAGGGTCCAGCCCAGTACCAACCAGGTGTACCTAATTTTTATTCTTGAATAATTTATGCCCAAAACTTTCATAGCCCGATCACGCTAACCCATAAATAAAACATTTCAAAAGTGGCAGGTCCTCTTTAATCTCTTTACCTGTCTGAAAGTGCACTAATGCAATGATTGTCCTGCAAAGTGGACAGGGAGTTCTTGATGGATTGTCTCTTGCCAGAGTGCGTAAACACGGCTCACAAAAGACATGGCGGCACGGATAGCACATGTATGGGTTGAAATACACATCTAAGCACACAGCACAAGTGTAGCTTTCCTTCTCTGGGATGTCCTCCTCTTTCTCGTCCTCTGTTCTTAGATTTGAAATATTGATCTGGAAAATAAAACACATCGCCATGATATATTGCCTTTTGCAAACACAGTGATTTCACACGAGCGTCTAATGACTCATAAACATAAACCTAAACCGGCATCGTGAGCCAATTTAACACAGAATTAACAGGCATGTCAAAAGGACACGTGAAAAGCACTTATTATCCATTGCCAGCAGTGAAGGGAGCGAGTGGGAAGCACAGGAAGAAAGCAACCATGTATCACCGTGGCCGAATCTCAAAGCTGCCATTAACAAGTGGAAAGAAGGCTTTTCCAAACCAAGGATAAGCAGATAATGAGTAATTGGTCACAGACATCTGCATAGTGGAAAGCTGAGGACATGGCTAACATGATCCCCTGCATGCAGTCCACAATGATTGATGCTTCACCAGTCCTGGCACATTTGTCACAGAGATAATGAGCCAAGTCTACTGTATTTCTAAAAAGGATCAATCAACAGTCTGCTTAGAAAAGGCTAGCTCGTCTATGCCCACTCCTTTCCCTAAGAAGAGCAGCAGTGCTAGTGTGAAATCGGATGGCACAGCACTGACACAGGCAGGGACTTATAGGCATAGTTTCATGGAAAGAAACAGTCTATGTGGATAACTGGGAAAGTGCTGAGCAAGCATAATTGCTGACTGTAAGGAAAGATAATTGAAAGCAGTATTGAACCTAAAACCAAAAATGTATTATATTGCAGCTTACCAGTTCTTAGATGCGGTGGCTGCATTAGTTTTATTTTTTAAGCTTCTTTTCCCCTGTATTTTTATCTGGTGATCCAGCCAGTAAGTCTGTTATTTTTCACCTTCCTTTAACAGGCCAAGCTGTCCAGGAAACATGACAGTTGATAAAAACCATTTAACACAGACAAGGGTGCTTACGTTGGTCAGCTTTTATCCATAAAACCTTTAGCTCAAAAGGAAAAAAAAAATTAACTAAATACTTAAAAAAAGCGTTAGCTGGAGCTCAGGTTTAATTTGTTTGTAAGATCCAAATCTGCTAGTGCCTCTAATACTACCCTCTCCCCAGATTGACAACGCTGCTGTCCAAGGGTGGCTCCATTGATCCGCCAAAGAGTGGGGCCACCGTAGAACAGGCAGTGTATTTACTGGCTGGACCCCCACATGAAAATAAAGGGAAAAAAAACAAAAATTAAAATTAATGCAGTCACCACATTTAAGGACTGGTAAGCTGTAATATACTGATTTTCTTTTTTGGGGGGGTAATACCACTTTAAGGTTAACTAGAAAAAATTCTTAGTTTGTCTTTAACATATTAATTTTTTTGTTAAGTTTACCTTAGTAGACAAGCACACACTGCCTATAATTTACAAATGTAAAAGAAACAATTGAATATTTATCTTTCTAGTAGATAACAAAAGAAAAAACAGCAGAGGGTGACCTTAAGTAAAATTTGTATTTGTTAAAAAAAAAAATACATTAAGCTATTAACATTTAAAGGAGAAGTAGGCCAGAGCTCTTCTATGGATCACAGTAGTGCAGTTCATTCTGCACTTCTGTGACCTGTTTTCAGCGGACAGCAGGCTAAAGTTTGCTGATGTCACTCAGCAGGTCCAGGCTCTGGACCAATCCCAACTTTACAGTCGGGATCCACCCAGATGCCAGGGCTGGCAGCTGGCCGTTGAGAGCCTGAGCCCTCCACAGCCCGGTGCTCTAGTGAGCACTGGAGGAGCAGAGCAGAGACCCATTGACTGACAGTCACCAGCTCTCTGCTCCCTAAAGACTGGGACTAGGTGCATTCCTGTGACCCTGGTTCAGTCGATAGAAGGCTAAAGTCCACTGTCCGCTGATGTCACAGAGCTGGTCCAGCCTCTGCACAAATCTTGACAATAATCTTAAGATCCGTCCAGATGAATGATCAGCAGCTGGCTCAGCCTCCCTGTGTGCCTCTGCAGGCTTGAGTCAGCCACTCCCTCCCCTCCACAGTCTGCGCTGGAAGGGCAGAGCACAGAGCAGCGACTGAGGGCACCATTCTGTGTTCAGAGTGGACCCGAGAACTGAGCAATCAGCGGTCTTTGATCGCTCAGTTCTCAGTGTAGAGCTGACAGGGGACAGATGCAGTATCAGATTAATGCTGCAGCCATCTAGGTGAGTATAAATGTTTATTATTTTAAAATCCAGTTCTCTTTTATTAAAGTAAAGCAGCTGTCATACAAACTCTCTCCACTAAGGGCTTTCATCAGACCACTATGGCAAATAGCAGCAGGAGTGATCCAATCCAGGGAGTCTATCCTGAACTTGAGAAAGCGGTGGAGCAGCTGCAAAACATGTAGCCATTCACCCTTCACACTTTCTGGTGTCTGACATCACACAAGAGTTTCCTCCAGCTGTCTGACTGACTTACCTGGCTCCATGAGAATTTCTGAGCCGATGAGTCTTTTATTATTAATAAATGTCAATTTTACTGCACTTAGGTGCGCCCTCTGCTGTTTTTCTTTTGCTGTTTCAGAGATCCTTTTGTCAACTGAGGAGCTGCACAGAGCACTGGAGGCAAACTGAGTTAACCCATAAAAGTGCCAAATATGGACTTCAAGAAATCTGTGCAATTTTAAAGGAGTTTCTGTTTGACAGCTTGCACTATAACCATTTTAGTAGAAAATGCTTCTCCTGGTATCCAGTCATGTGACCAAATGGCCAGGCATAATTAGTTCTGTTTGGACATCAACCCCTAAGTCTGGGTTGCACAACCTATATAACAAAAGCAAGGTGAGCAGGAAAGTTCAGGTAGGTTGGGGCCATGGGAAATATTCTCCCACCATGCCATTATTACATAATGGGCATGCGTGGTAGAGAAGCAGAGCCACATATGCTCATGATGCAATCATGAGGTGCAGTTGTAAAGTCTCTCCCAAAATTGTGTGTCAATATAGGTGGGTCACCCACATGGTATTCTTCCCAAATATATTGCCATAAATTTGAAATGCTACAATCTTGGCCATATTCAATAATTATATATATATATATATATATATATATATATATATATATATATATATATACTGCATGTTGAAATGCGTTTTCATTACAAAATATATGAAAACTATATTTCAAATATGACAATTATAAATAGACAGCGCAAAACATAGACCTCTGAATAAAATCAATCTATAAAGTGCATAATAATACTAAATATATCATAAATAATATTAATAGTGAAAGTCCATCATATTAATAAACACCAAAAGTTCGTGAAACATAAAAAATTTGTGTGAAGATAAGAAATCCAAAAATTCTTCAGATGCAAAGAAAACTTCCACCTTCCACCCGTGCAAACCAACATCAATTACACTCACCAGATTTTTGGTGAATGAAACGCCTTTTAGGGATTTAAAGGGATCCTAAGCCCTCTTTTGTATCCACTCTATAGGATTCCTCACCATCAGAATAGGCTCCACCATTCAACCAGGGAGAAAAAAAAAATCTCAGATAGTGTGATATTGCTAATTGCTAATATTAACAAAATCAAAGATTAAGGCCACTCACATTTTAACCACTTTAAAAAGGCACATTTATTGAAACAACCTCTTCCAGATGGAAAATGAGTGATATACAGCCTCCTCAGGAATCTCACATCACAGCTCCAGGGTACAGCAGAAGCTCCACAGAGAAACCCATACACAGATCCCAAAAGATGGCCGCTGGAACGCACCACTCAGGTGCGTTCCACTCACCGGAAGTGACGTCAGACGTACGGGATATAGACCAGAAATGTGTCAACGCGTTTCGCCTCTCTCATCTCTTGAGAGCGCCCGATGGGAGAGGCAAAACGCGTAGACGCATTTCCGGTCTATACCTGTACGTCTGACGTCACTTCCGGTGAGTGGAACGCACGTTGAGTGGTGCGTTCCAGCGGCCATCTTTTGGGATCTGTGTATGGGTTTCTCTGTGGAGCTTCTGCTGTACCCTGGAGCTGTGATGTGAGATTCCTGAGGAGGCTGTATATCACTCATTTTCCATCTGGAAGAGGTTGCTTCAATAAATGTGCCTTTTTAAAGTGGTTAAAATGTGAGTGGCCTTAATCTTTGATTTTGTTAATATTAGCAATTAGCAATATCACACTATCTGAGATTTTTTTTCTCCCTGGTTGAATGGTGGAGCCTATTCTGATGGTGAGGAATACTATAGAGTGGATACGAAAGAGGGCTTAGGATCCCTTTAAATCCCTAAAAGGCGTTTCATTCACCAAAAATCTGGTGAGTGTAATTGATGTTGGTTTGCACGGGTTGAAGGTGGAAGTTTTCTTTATATCTGAAGAATTTTTGGATTTCTTATCTTCACACGAATTTTTTATGTTTCACGAACTTTTGGTGTTTATTATTATGATGGACTTTCACTATTAATATTATTTATGATATATTTAGTATTATTATGCACTTTATAGATTGATTATATTCAGAGGTCTATGTTTTGCGCTGTTTATTTATAATTGTAATTTTTTTGTGTTTTATCACATTGCACAGCAGCAGGGTAGATCCTGTAGTAGTTTCTTTGGCACAGGAAGAATTTTCAGTTTATATTTCAAATATACTGTATGTCTTTAAAAATACAAATCTACATTTTTGGAATGCATTTACAAATATATGTAAAAATATGTTAAAATGACTTTTTTAGATGTAAAAAAAAAATCTGAAGAATATATTTAAAAAATATATATTTTTTTAAATATATTCTTCAGATTTTTTTAGCATATAAAAAAGTAATTTTAACATATATTTTTACATATATTTGTAAATGCATTTGAAAAATGTAGATTTGTATTTTTAAAGACATACAGTATATTTGAAATGTATTTTTAAAAACATTTTTCATATATTTTGTAATAAAAACGCATTTCAATGTGCAGTATGTGTGTGTGTGTATATATATATATATATATATATATATATATATATTTATTGAAATATATTGAATATGGCCAAAATTGTGGCATTTTAAATATATGGCAATATATTTGAGAAGAATATTTTTCAAATATATTTCAAATATATTTTTCTTCCATATGGGCAGGGAGAGTACAGGGGTAAAGATGTGGGTGAAACAGGAGGAGAGGGCTCTAGTGGGTGGCGCTATG